ATCGATCGGCTGCCACCTGCATGCCCCATACTGGGGACCAAGCTTGCAATTGAGCTACGTCCCCTTGACTGGAATAGAACCCAGGACCCTTCTGTCCACAGGCTGATGCTCTATCCCAGGGGTGGGCAAACTTTTTGACTCGAGGGCCACAATGGGTTCTTAAACTGGACCAGAGGGCCGGAACAAAAGCATGGATGGAGTGTTTGTGTGAACTAATATAAATTCAAAGTAAACATCATTACATAAAAGGGTACGGTCTTTTTTTTTTTTTTTTAGTTTTATTCATTTCAAACGGGCCGGATCTGGCCTGCAGGCCGTAGTTTGCCCACGGCTGCTCTATCCACTGAGCCAAACCAGCTAGGGCTTTTCTAACATTTTTATGATACATTTCAATTTCAAAAATAATAAGTGTGGCAAAATATTATTCTTTGAACAAAGGAAATATGCTTCTAACATTTTATTTTTAAAAGTTTTTATATAATTTTATTTTCATATAGACTTTGGATTCATTGAGAATATTGACACACAGATTATAATTGTAGAAATAATTCTCATCAAAAAGTACTGTTTCATTTCTAACCAAGAGTCCTTATTTTAAATTTTGCAAATAAAAAACTTTTTGGAGACTATATTTCTTCTTAATTAACGGGGATTTAAATTTGCCCCATCTCTGCCCCTTACAAAGTAAACTCATTTATTAAAAAGGACAAATTGGAATTCTAGTGCATAAGACAGGGACAGGCCCCAGGGCCCTGGCCCTCCATCTCTCTCCTGAGGGTGATGGGTCTTGGAGTACAAAGCTTCTGTGCTGAAGAGAAAGGGGCCACATTGGTGGCTCACCGTGTCCTGGCAGAGCACAAACACCCAGTAGGCCCTCAGACCGTCCGAAGACGTGGATGTTCTCCTTCAGGGGAATCAAAGCTTTTGTAGCAAACTCTCACGTTGTCTCACTGCAGTCAGATGAGCTGAGTCAAGTGGAAGCCTGTGCTTTGTTGTTGGTATATTTTAACCCTTTCTGCTCAATATTTGACCATGAAGCCACCAATTCCCAAAACTTTCACTGCTACTTGTATGCTGGTCCCCAGCTGGTCAGGAAAGTTCCTTTGTGATAACAATAGTAAATTAGGTCTATCTCGTCATCATCAAATATCCCAGGAGCCTCCAGCTTCCGATTTTGACACCTAAGGCCTAGGTCTATGCTCAGTTCCAACAGTTTGCTTCTAATCCAAGACCTTGATTAGGTCAAAGCAGGACCAGTCTGCCAGCTGTGGGAGGCATTTAGCTTTCTAGTGTAGGATTAGACTCATGAGCTAGATCCATAAGAGAGTTCCGTAATAAAATAATAAAGTGAGTGAGCTAAAATAACCTGAAAATAAAGTGAGAGTTCCAAATATATTTTTTAAAATATATTTTTATTGATTTCAGAGAGGAAGGGAGATGGAGAGAGATAGAAAAAAATCAATGATGAATCATTGACCGGCTGCCTCCTGCACGCCCCCTACTGGGGATCGAGCGTACATCCCAGGCATGTGCCTTGACTGGGACTCGAACCATGACCTACTGGTTCATGAGTCGCCACTCAACCACTGAGCCAGACCAGCCGGCTAAAAATCTCGATTTAGCATCTCCTAATTGGGCTTGCCCAGGGAAAGCCTCAGGCTCCTGAAGGGAGGATCTGTTGTTCCTATTGTCAGGAGACATTCCTAGCTGTGTTGTGACATAATTGGGTCCAAATATTAGAAATTTCCACTTAGTAACATTTCTGGCTTTGTGTCCAAAACGAAGTTCTCAATCAGCAGAACAGCTTATCTTAAAAAAAAAAAATTCCTCATCCACCAACAGATGAGGAGACTGAGTGAGGCTTAGAGAGGTTGAATGACCTGCCTAAGCTGACGGGGTGGAACTCAGGTGGATCTCAAATAACACGATCTTCAGAGCCGATTAATTTATTCTGGAGGAGATGTTTTCTTAGAAGGTGGGTCTCCAAATGGACCTCAAAAAATCACTGTCCATTCTGTCCCAAATAATAAAAATGAATGCAGGTCATTTATGTTCCTCCGGGTCTACAGGTCCGTGTTAGCATCAGTCGTGGGATTAGGGAGTAATATCATTTATATTTTGAATATTACTTTTTATCAGAAAGAACCAGTGCCCTCAATACTATAATCCAGTGTTTTGTTCCGTTTCTACTCAGATTTTCTCAGTACATATTGTACTTAAAAATATTGGGTGTTTGGGGGGAAAACATTGATTTTTGTGGTCACATGATTGTCATTTACTGTACCTGTACCGAAGGAGATAATTAACCAAAAGTGGCCCATAAGATTTTACGTAGATCTCAAAGACGCCTAGAATGCTAGACAGTTAGTACTTTACAGTCCAGCATAATCCAGTTAAACAGTTGTTTTTAAAGTAGCAACATAATAACGCACTGCGCTTGGAAGAATGCTAGTGTATTGTTGTGTATCACGTCTGTTGTGAGCTGAAACCACTCAATGACAAAGATTAACTTCTAAATCTCATACATGTAAATAAGACACTTAAATATGTATTAAAATCCACTCTGATTTTTCTTTCAGGGGTGATTATGTAAATGCTTTGGCTCATTATGAGAAAGGAATAACAGGTGAAAATAAGGTAATATTGAATAAAGATAAGATATACATAATTATCTTTGGGCTTGTTATTAATTTAATTTAAATATATCATGATCTTATTTGCATTGTATTTATTCAATACTTAGCAGGTAAGCCTTTTCTCAGTTTATTAACAATTTTGCAAGGGTATATAGATCATTTTAAACTTTTACAAACTGAAGATGACAATATTTTTAGTGGTTTGATAAAGATGTTTTTCATTGCATTCTCAACATGAGCTCCTTATTAAGGTTGGGAGTAAGATTTGTATCCCTTCCCACTTACAGGCTATGATTTTCATAAGGCTTTTCCTTTTAGTCTTAAAAACTTTCAATAACTACTTTGAAAGTGAATTCTCAGGCCACAAAAGCTCTGCCGTTCCATCTCTCAGGCTTGGTCTTTTATGATGAACCTGCTAAGCATGAACTTTACCCCCTACTCCGACCCATCCTCCCACCCCACAATTTTAGCTCAAAATTTTGCAATAAAAATTGATTTTAAGTTAGGTAATGTCTTATAAAGATGGACATTTTTTTATTTTATATCTAGCATTTTTATTATAAAAGTAATATAATTTTATTAGAGTCCGTTTTAAAAAGTCACCAAAATATGTAAACATGAAAAGTGAGAGTCCAACATTCTCTCCTCCATCCACGTCCCTTCATGGTAACCACTATTAATGATTTCATAATAGGTCCAAGCAGACTCTCTTCTCAGCATAGAAATATATATGTAATATGGGTTCTTACTGAAAATGAAATCATTTCCATTCACTAAGCAAAGATCAACTGAGAATTGATTCCATGACAAAGCAGCATTTTGCTGTCTTCATGGTCTTTCCAAGTCAATGCATATAATTGTGTGTGTTTTTTAAACTTTGAAAGTTTATATGTGTCCCCTCCCCCACCTCCATTGACCTCTTCTAGCCCTGATTTTGTTTTCATTTTAGAGCAATTCCATTGTTTGGAGGGACAGTAATCCCCTTTTATCTGTGGGGGATACGTTCCAAGACCCCCAGTGGAAGTCTGAAACCATAGATCATACCAAACCCTAAATATACTATGTTTTTTCCTCTCCACATATACCTATGATAAAGTTTATAAATTAGGCACAATAAGAGATTAACAACAATAACTAACAACCGTGGATAAGAGGGGAATACTGTGCCATGGTTTTTTCATCTATGCCCTTATTGAATTATAGTTGTTTTTGTTTCTGTTTCTATCAAAAACACCGTAATGAATATTCTACCTAGTACATGTATCTTTAGCTACCTAAGATGATATTTCTGAAGGATATATTCTTACAGGTGAGATTTCTAGGTCATAAATGTATGCTTTAATTTTGGTACTGCTAAAGGAAATGGCAATAATTCATACGGCTATCATCATGCATGAAAGTGTCCATTTCCCCCCACATTCTTAACACAATGAATGTTATCAATTGTTTTTATCTCTGCCAATTTGATCAGCAAGAAAAAGTGTTTCACTTTATTTTATGCATTTGATTATTAGTGAAGTTGAGCTTTTTTTATTGGCCAATTGTATTTTTTATGAATTGTCCAATCATATCCTTGGCTCATTGGTCTCTTGGCTTTTTGATATTTTCTTTTTGATATTTAGGCTACATCTATCTAGTGCATTCTTTATTTCTGTTATCAAATAGTCACCTCTAGCCACATGTGGCTATTTAAGTTATTTTATTTTATTTTTTTAAAATATATTTTATTGATTTTTTACAGAGACGAAGGGAGAGGGATAGAGAATTAGAAACATCGATGAGAGAGAAACATCAATCAGCTGCCTCCTGCACACTCCCTACTGGGGATGTGCCCGCAACCAAGGTACATGCCCTTGACCGGAATCGAACCTGGGACCCTTGAGTTCGCAGGCTGACGCTCTATCCACTGAGCCAAACCGGTTAGGGCAGTTATTTTAAATTAAATAAAATTTAACATTCAGTTTCTCTGTCACACTAGCCGTTTTTTAAGTGCTCAATAGCCACTTGTGGCTGTTATAAGGCAGACATCATCACAGAACATTCTACTGGACACGCTGATTTATATAAAATGAAATCGGACATTACATTTTACTAGTTCAGATTAGTTACTTGAAAAATTATTTAGTTATCTTCAATAAAGTAACCAACTTTAAATAAAGTTTTTATGTTTAATCATGCCTAGTAGAGAAATCTTCAATTTGATAAATGGGTTTCCTCTTAATTTTATCCATAGCATATATGCTTACATATCCAGTACATTTCTTCTGACATAAAATTTAACAGCAAGAAGACATACAGAGAGATGCAAAGGTATTAGGACGAAGGGCAATAAAAATTTGGTCTTATGCACAAAAGATGTAGACGTCTTAAGAAAAAAAAAATTCCCCCCAAATCTCGAGATAATCCTGAAAGGTTAATGAAAGTTAACTGTAACTTTGGGCTCATTTTAGATTTAAATTCATCCTTTGCCTAAAATACAGCATTTTAAGTTAGGATCTGATTTGTTAGTTACTTGTCTTTTAATTACAGGAACATGATGAGTTGTGTCTGGGCTGGGAGTGGCCCAGATGTCCATAAGAATGGGGAGACATACGGGCGAGGGGGTTAAACCAAGCCCTCAAGCATCCCAGCAGGGGTCCCTTAAGAGAGACTGCGGGGCCATCCCTGGAGAATATGAAAGGTTTGCTCTTCTGTGCTTACAGATTCATGTGAATCTCATACATAACTAGTAGCCCTGCGCACAAATCGGGTGTGCCAGTAGGTCGCTGCCACCCCTCCTGTAGGTCTCCCACCTGCTGCCCCCGCCCTTTCTATAGCTCCCCCCTCTTCCTCCCCCCCCCCCCCATTAGTTTGTTGTGCTTGGTTTCTTTTGGTGTTTTTTTTTTTG